TGCTACCTTGTTGTTGTTGTTGTTGTGGTGAGTAGTAGTGGTGAGTAGTAGCTGTAGCTGTACAGTAGCTGTTGCTGCTGCTGCTGCTGTTGCAATTGCTGTTTTCATTGCTGTTGCAATTGCAACTGCTGTTGCCGTTGCTGGTTTAGTTGCTGTTGTTGTTGCTGCTGCTGCTGCTGTTGTTGCTATTGTTGTTTGCATTTAGCAGCTAGTAGCTAGTAGCAGGTACTCGCAGCTGGGAGCCAGCAGGCATTAATAGTTAGTATCTAGTAGGTGGTAGGGAGGGGTTACACGTAAGCAGGTAGTAGTAGAATTCGTCGTCGTCGTAGTTCTTGTGGTAGTTGCAGTGGTGACGGTAGAGGTGGTGGAGTACTAGTTGCTACACTAGCACTGGGACTAGCAGCAGTCTTAGTTGTCGTCGCAGTAGTCGACGTCAGCCCAGTGGTAGCAGCATTACACCCTTTAGTGGTTGTCGTCGTGGTGGTGGCGGTGGCAGTAGTTGTCGTAGTATGCAGTAGTCGCAGCGGCAGCAGCAGCAATTTGTTGCAGCGACAGGTCAGGCCGACACTGAGTGTAATCGTTCTAAATGGTCGTGAACCACATAGTCACATGTGTATATCTACATAATACGTATACCGCATATACATGAATGCACATGCTATAATATGTGTAAACATGTAAGTACGTGCGCGACTGTAACTGCTATGCTTACATCGTTTAGCGATCACTCCTGTCCTGGGCATGACCTGGCGTCGTTTAATGCTAATGCCAGAGCCACTACTTTCCCTCTTACTGTAGGAGTACACGGATTCGTTCTCTCGTTGGCACTTGTGGTCTCTGGTAAATCGCTTGTGCATTTGCTATCACTGGGCACAATCATGCATGGCAAGCCTAGGTCGAAGCCTAAAGCACTCAAAGCCTTGAGGTCTAGGGTATTCAGCACCCCAATGAAGAAGCTCAGGCACGCAACATGTCCCAAACGGAGAAGTTCCAGAAACACAAAACCGTGACTTCGAATCGTACAAACTTGCAGAAATCATGTCGCATAGCTCTGAGGACCGTGCTTCTGTCGTTGTCACGGGTCGGCGAACCCATCTCATAGCTTCGAGTGGCCTCTCTCAGTCGCTTTGGTTTACGGCAGGCATGCATGTCAACCAACACAAAGGCTTAGGGTTTTAGGGCTTAGGCACACACAGACACACACCATTGCATGACAACACCGGGTGTCATGACCTACTTCAGTGCCGCCTGAACTAACCAGGGGAGTCAGCAAACATCCGGATTCCCAACAAAGATCGACAACCTCCAACAAAATTAGGCGAAGAAGGTCCATGCCTCCGCCATGGCTGGAAATCGCGGCGCATGTAGCAGGGGCGGCTCTGCTTTGTCAGCGAATCTAGATTGCGACGTCGTGCCGTTAGGGTGAACTAGGATCATAGACGGAATGGCAGTGACATTGAACGATTGTTTCTAAAGCTGCATTTTTAATCCGCACGCAAGCGGTGGCTGTGACTGGAAGCGCGCACACACACACACACATGAGCCGGCGCTCATCTCTCGCAGGGTGGTCGGTGGGAAAGCTAGACCACAAACAAGTTCCCATGAGCCAGTATCCACTCACAGCATGCGCATCATTTTGCGGCTCCCGCTCATGTTTTATCCGGCCGCGACCATTCCGACCAACTTCGGCGTAAGTTTCGACAGCTCCGCTCTGTGGATGCATCCTCACTGGTGTCCGTCTCGGCTTCGGCTATATCATCGCTTTGTAGCGCCATTGACGCCTCTGTCGGCTGCTGGCCCGGATCGCCTCTGGCAGCACGAATGGACTGGAGTTCACTCTGAAGGGACAGCACGTCGCTCTGCAGCGCCGAGAAAGCCTGCAAGGATCAATCAGCTGGGTATCCCATACCTTTCTCTCCTATACGGGCTAAGCATGCAAGGCCGCTATCACATCACTATTGATGAGTTTCGCCAAAAGGGTCGTAAATTGAAGCCTACAGGCAACGATGCTTGTTCAACATTCACCTGCTTCAGGCTGACAAAGGAGTGTGGGGCCATGCAAACTTGTGCATGCCGCTAACCGTTCATCTGCTGGTTGCAAGATCGTGCGACGTATGATGTCATGTTAACATATACCATATTCTATTCAAAAATTATGGTCTATTCCAAGATAACAAATTATACTATCTTGTACCGTATATATATATATATTGTATTATCACAGAAAAGTTATACTACCATCATATTCGATGCATGCCAGCCGAGCGATGGGCCCTGATTTACGTAAACCTGGTCCAAACCAAGTAAGGCCGTGCAAACTGAATGCAATGCGTTGACGCACCCTTGTCGTAACCCTGAAGCTTGCCGTTAGAATAACTGTTCATAGGAACCTTGGTAGCAAACCTTAGGGCAGCCCTTTGCACTGACCTTTTAGACTTACTCTCAAAAGCAAAACCGGGACGAACAAAAACACTCGGAGCCTAAACAATGGTACCACTTGTTGTGCCTCAGGCCTCAGGCCCTTAGTGTGATAAAAAAACTTTAGACCCCCGGTAAACGGAGCCTTTTAAAGGTATCTCCTTCTGATGATTCACGCCCCTTTTAAAGGTATCTCCTTCTGATGATTCACGCCCTGTGAGCCAGACCTCCTGGAGTTCTTTCAAGGAGAGAAGCTTCTGCGGCTCGAAAGGGGCTGGCACTTCCGTGCGGCTTTCCTGCAGGCTTTCGGAGGTTTGATATTTGGGGTAAGACGGTTCAGGGCGCATGTAGGAGGAATTCGGAAGAATGCTGTAGGAATTGCTTGGCTTCGGCTGAAGTGCTGTAACGGTTGAGGCCGAGCGGCTCAGGCCGTCGGATTCGAGACTAAACTAATTCGACTTTGGTAAATCAAGACTTGGCGGGTTCTGTCTCTGGCTTTGGCTTGAGAGCTGAGGTTCATCAGTATTTCGGTTGCAACTTTTCTTTGCAGCTTGGGTCATTGACGTTGCTTAAGCCTCGGCAAAAGCCATGTAAAGGTCCATCCACGAAGCAGCTGTCTAAGCAGCTGTATGCGCATCTGCGAAATCCACGAATGTGTCTGTTCGTATAGCAGAGGAGATGGCTTCAGAGTAGGCGTTCAGATGATTCGACCTTGCATTACGCTGAAAGCGCCAACGCAAGAACGGATATCTAATTGCAGCCTGTCTGTAGGGCATGGCCACCTACTCAGCCACCTAAGATGACCTAAGCCTTCTCAAACTTCCCTACCACCTCGGCGTGGATTGGCGGCACCAGTGTCGGCGCGGGAAACGGCGCCGGTACAGCCCCAGGCTGTGGCCCCAACTGCGCGAATCGTTCTCCAAGCTGCTTTTGACTCTCAACTTGTTGGTATATTGGCTGGTCCTGGAGCTTACTAATAATGGTACAATTGATTATAGTAATAGTAACAGGAAACTAATGCCAATGAAAAACAAAAGTAGCAACAATTGTATTCCAGGGCTACTTCGTTCATTCGAGAGGTAGGACTAGAGGCAGGCACCTAATTCTCATAGAGACGACCCGGGTCCCTGCCGAGATGCTCAAACCCTGAATGAATATCGCAGGCAGCCCTTGCATCGTCACCACAACAGCCAGATGTAAAGCGCACTGACAACAAATCACTATGTAGATATTCTGCTTTAAATGTATATGCGCATGCAATCGACATCTGTACACATACTGTTTACAAGAGACAGCGGATAAATAGACAGTGTAACCGTTTACAGAGTCGTCCTCCCAACCTAGGCCCGATGGCTACAAGTCGTGCGTAGTGGGACGGTAGCAGGAAAATGGTCTAGCCATGTGGCGGTGGCGGCGGTCGGCCAGCGGCCCAACCCTTTAGATTGATTCTGGGCTGCTTTTTGTATGGTCTTAATACAGGTGGTGGTGCGGAATGTATATGAACCCTACCCAAAAAAAGCTCGGTTCTCGCAGCTTCTATTTTACGACACTACGTGAGTATTCGGGCTCGGCTCAAGGAGTACTGTACAGACATGCAGACACAGGTGTGGTTGCTTTCAATCAGCACGCGGCCTAGCCCACCAAGTCACCCGGGTAGATACCCAGGTAGAACTGGGTAGAAATCCGCTAAAACCCCGAAACCCGAGACCCTAAAACCCCGCCAACCAAACCGTAAGATGCGGAAACGCCTCCTCCGGGACTTTGGGAATCGCTGGGCCAGGACTTTGCGGACTCTGCGGGACCGTGCCAAACACCAGGACCGGAGGCCTCCAAATCGGGCTCAGGGTTTCGTTGGGGGCTTTGGGGTTCAGGATTAAGCGCTTCGGGTTTTGGGTTTTTGAAGTTATAATGAGCCCTTACACAGGGATTCATTGGATTCATGTATAGGGTGTAGGATATATATATATATATATATATAGTAGGGGCGTTACAGGAGACCACAGAGAATCGGTGTAGTATCATTGCACCACACCGTTGCTTACAGGGTTTCGACTCACACACTCGCACAAGGCTGGCATTAGGGTTGCAGGATTGTTTCCTCAACCCTTTTTTGAAACCGGACTTGATGACTGCCAGCATTGCCTCTTCTGCTGTTCTTCAGCCGAGGCCCGAAAACCCTAAACCCTAAACCGAATTACGTGGTGGTGCAAGTCCGGGCCTTCCAAAAGTCTCGACAAGAAACACTAAGACCTTTGATAGGTCTCTGTTGGCCCACCGTACATCGCACAATGCTAAGATAGACCTTTGACTCCAAATACTGCTTGCGGGCTTAGAGGGCGGAGTGCTGGACCAAGCATGTGCAGGTGGCATGCTATCCGAAGTGTCCGACACAACGGGAAGATGTGGGAAGACTCTATGTCAACAGCTTAGGCGCAGCAATTTGAACTCCACGATGTGAGTTTCGTCAGCTGCAAGACAGGAAGGCCAACAAACTCAAAACCATCATTCCAGTTCCATGGCAGCGTCGTCGGGTGTTTATTTCCGATGGTCATTAGTGGAGCCTTCATTCGCCTGCCAACCTGGACTGTAGCCGAGATATGGGAGTGGATCCAGGATCTAAAAAGCCAGGAGAGGACGTGAATCTAAGTTGTTGCAGGTTTGGATGGCTTGCGATCCTGTCGTCCATTCCTGCGGCTGTCGGGTCCGAACCTTGCGGCTGGCTTTAGTTACCGGCATCAAATTCGCCGTCGCAAAACTCTGTCTTTGAGACTCCGACCTCGGGGTTCTCCACGGGTTTAGGGTTTAGGGTTTAAGGACAACATAGTGTTGGAATGTTTTCAAGCCCCGAATGAGATTGTAGCGAGTGATAATGAGCGTGTTTAAGGCTTTGGTTGCCCTCGGCACCCTTGAATCGGAAACAACAACTGTAAAGCCACCTTAGCACAAATGAGGCAAAAGGGTCCTTTCCTTGTCAGAAAGTAGACGCGGTGCTGTGCTGCTGCTAAGACCCAAGACCTTTGCAGCAACCTTGCCTCGTCGCCCGGGAGCTCCCTCTACTCTGCCCAGACCTAAATCCCGAACCCTCAGCCACAAAAAAGTGAAACTAAAGCTGAAACCATCTCTGCGACCTAAACCCGAACACCAAACCCTAAACCTAAACCCTAATCCTAAACCCCTAAAACCTAAACACCAAACCCTAAAACCCTAACCCTAAAAACCGAAACACCAAACAGCCACACAGCCCGCCTTGGAGCTTGGCTTGGTCTGGCATGGGCGGGTGAGGGTGACACTGGGAGCCTCCTCTGCGGAGAGACGGAGCCTCGGGAAACCCCACGAACCCCCAATAAAGGGGGTAGGGGTTAGGGCAATATGGCCCTAATTGAATACAAGTGGGCCTAGTTGAATACAAGTGGGGTTAGTGGTTAGGGTAATAGGGCCCTAATTGCATACAAGTGGGGTTAGGGGTTAGGGTTTATGGCCCTTATTCGTTAGAATACGATTGGGTTTCGGGCTGTATTGAAGCAAAAAAAATCAAAAAAAGTCTTTTCCAGAACCCTGACGAACAGTTCATCCCCGACCAAGGCATACTAGCGTCCATTCCCGCGAGCATCCGCTTCTAAGAGCGTCCACGGCCAAAGCCTTATAACCTCCATTCGCGATAGTATCCGTTCCCCAGGCCAAAGCCTAAACAACATCCATTCGCGAGAGCATCCGCCAGGCAAAGCTAAATGAAAGGGTGATGATGACGATGATGATAATGATGGTGACGACGACGATTTCATTGGGCCTGCGTTCTACAATTAAGGTTGATGGTGAGACAACCCGGAGACAGGCCCAAAAGGGAATGGGAGCATCTACCTATAAACACGTTGCTGTAACACCCCGGATCGTGGCAACTATGCTTATGTTCGCATAACACAAAAACGCACAAACAACTACGAACAATCTTTGTGTCTGCGTATATATATATATATGCCCATGTAGACACACATATGTGTATATATATATATATACATCTATGTGTATGTATATGTGTGCGTGTATACTAAGCATGCATGCGAGCATGGATACATCCATGGATGGATGGATGGATGGATGCATGGGTACACACGCTTACATTCTATGATATGCTGAAGCATAAACCAATCTGAGATCATGCATGTCTTGTTCTAGATTTCAGCTGTGGAGCGACTCTCCATGGGGCGGCCGCGCGCGGCACTTGCCTTTGCTGCTGTGCTTGAGGGTTTTTTGGCTTTGCATTTCCGGGTTTGGTTGTCAGGGCTTTTGGACTCTCGCGGCTCGGCAATGCAGGCGAGGCTGATTCGGGCTTTTCGTTAAGCCTTCTTTTGCTGCTTGCCACTGCTCGCGGGCTTTTGGGGCTTGAACTCTCGCGACTGGGACGATGCAGCTGATGCTTGTCCAGGGTTCGAAGGCTGGTACATGTGCCAACCTGTTTTTGGTTTGGGGCAGGAGATGAGGGCAAACGTGTAGCTGCTCCCTCTCCTTCTCGATGGTGCATTTAGGCAGAAGAACAAACGGCAACTCATGTCTTAAGCTTCTCATACGAAGTGATCAGCTCACACTCGGGAATGTCGCAAAGGTTAGAATAAGACAAGTGGCAATATGCATCGGCAGGCCGCGAATGACCGAGGGCACAGCCGTTCGCGTGAATGGGACCCGCGGAGCCGGAGCCGGCAGCGGTGGCCCAGGGACGCCTGGCGAAAGAACTCATTTAGGGTTTAGGTTTCTTTTTTGTCCCCTCTTTTCCACCTGCCCTGTTAAGTTAGTTAGGGTTTACAATAGGCTGACGAATTGAAATGGACAGTTCCTGGGTTCCGAAATGCAGAAACCAAGAATCTCTCAAGCTCAAGATTAGGCTCATGGACGCTGATGCTTCTGTTGGTTGGTCGGCCTCAACATGACGACGTCAATTCGACAACCTGCCGATAAGGTTAGTACGGGATCGGGAGGTACCGCCGAAATATCGGTGATGACTGTTGGCCCCAAAAGTTGTTCCCAGAGGGCCGGTGATTCCGGCTTCACAGATGTAAGGCATGCACCAACATGGAGGCAAGCAGCTGCGAAACCTGCTTGAATTCTCATAGGAGGCTAAGGTATGTACCTTACGGCTTACGGAAGCATAAGTGCTTCACAGATAAGCCAGAATAAGGTCAGCTGACACTCTGCGGCTCTACTTTCAAGGCTTTGCCTGGGCTCGTCGAAGCCGGCGGAGGAGGGTTGCTGCAGCTTCGATGGCGCTTATCCGGTGAAGGCGATGTCGAGAGCTTCTGCTTGGCGTGGGTCTCGCGAGCATCTGCTTCCATCCTGAGCCGCTCTCTCGTCGATAGGAAAAGGGTTTTGGAATCTTGTGCAACCATTATAATGCAGAACCCCAAGGCATAGTAGTATTAATTACCGAGGTCCCTCTGTTACCCTCTGGAACTCCGTCTGCGAACACGAAGCGGTAAGCACTTGTGTGCAAGCGGAGAGTGTTTTCAGTCGACTCCCTCACTCGCACACGGCCGGCAAGGATTCACGACAACTGGTCCGAAGAGGAAACGCAAGGCGACGCACCGGCGACGGCACGTGCAGCTAAACCACAATATCCCAAAGAGCCAACCCACAGGAGGCAACTCATAAGTCTATATACCCAATGTAGAGACCAGATCTTTTGAAACCCACCCGTACTCTCAGCCACCGAAAGCCAGGGCTGGGAAGCAGACGTCTGTCTGCGAGGTGGCGAATATGCAACAAACACGACGTCCCGAATTCGGACCTCCAAATGAATAAGGTTTTGGGGCCCATTATACTATAATTATAATAAGGAACTCCCAAGATAGAACCCTGCATGGAAAAACCCAAAGCCCGCAAACCTCCATTCAAATGCAACTGGAGCAGCACGGCCAGGAGCATCGCCTCCATCCTGTTCGTCGGGTACAACTCCTCCGCATGTAGCCCGGGAACCCTCGCTTTGCTCGAAGTTGGGTTTCGGGGCCTCAGGGCGTGGAGAAATGCGTTGTGGCCTTCTTGGGATCTGCGGAACTGTGCAATGTGAGGTGCGGCGACTTGTTGCTGTAGGATGTGGAAAAGATCGCGCTGCAGTCAGCAAGAGCGGCTGTTTCGCGTGCAAAAGGGCGATGTTGGCTGCACATGATGCTAAACATCATCTAGCCCATGCTGAAATTCTCAGCAGAAGCGCAGCTTTTGGGGCTGAGTCAGCTCCTTAACTTCGGAATACTCTGGTCGCCAACGGAGTTGCTTCTTTGCCTTAACTCGTCATTGCTGCTTGAGGACTGTGCAGGTACGCACATGTCTCTGGCCTCCCTAACTTTTTCCCCTTCTTGATCATAAGATGGGAGCACAGACAGCATGTAGCAACTTGAAAGCCTAAACTCGTGGCAAGCACTCTGAGGATCTTGAAGTGTATGATGTTTCGGCACATTGGGTCGCAGGACTTTCGGCCTCAGGGCTTAGGACAAGTCTAGCTTGCATTTGACCTCCGAAGACTTTAGGCATCTTTAAGCCATCAACCCAAACCGCCAACATCGGAACCGAAACCCCAAGCCGTCCAAGCCATAGAACAATAAGCCCTATACCGGATGGGAACTCCTCGAAGGATACTCGATGGGGGCGCGGGAGTGCATGCAAAGCCGACTGCACCATCGGAGGTTCCAGCCAGGCTTCCTTCTGGTGCAGAAGCATCCGGAGGCTTAGTGAGGTATGCACTTGCATCCTAAAACACTGTTGAGCTTCAACTTGGCCTCGATTTGCTTCCCAAAATGCACATGAAAATGACTGGATGTCTGCCAAGCCATGACAAAAGCTGACCTTTGCTCTGAATCCTAGATCCAGGCCCGAGCCTGTCCGATACACTATGGACAGCTATTCAAAAAGTGTGCACCGAACAGTGTAATAAAGCTCACCTTTTCCATCTAGAACTATGCACATACGTATGTGTGCGTATATAGGTGTGTACACATATGCACATATGTATGTGTGTGTGTGTAAACTCTCTCTCTCTCTCTCTCTTTCTCGCTCTCTCTGACTCTCCTCAATGATCTGTTTAGCTTAGCTGCTTATTTTATATGCACATATACATACATACACACACACATATATATATATATGTATCTATTTATTTATTTATTTATTTATCTATTTACATGTTCCGTGGAAAAACCGTGGTGATGTATAGTGCAGATAAGAATTACAGGCATAGCACTTCCCATGCCCCCAAGTGTCATTGCGGCTGGAGCCGGAGAGGTAATCGTCCAAAGGTTGCTTCAAAGGACCGTCAACAACGAACGGCTCCAGGAAGCCACGACGTCCTTGGAAGAACTTGGGGCCAGGGAATCCCACAGCACCGTGCCGTAGCCCCTACGGCTTCCTGAAATCCGCCATCGATACCCTCCCAGCCCAAAGCCTAGCAACCTCTGGCGAAGATAGAATTAGAATTGGGCTTTGGGGCATTTTATATTATAACTATAAGAAGGAACCCCCAAAATAGTAATGGTAAAGGACAAGGGTCCTTGAGCCAGTTGCAGCTTGACTGCTCGGCCTTTGACCTGATCTCTTAGCAGCAAAAAGAAGGCGGACGGAATGTTTCGGGTGTAATGTAGGGGCCTTAATAATTAGAATAGGGTTTTGGGGCCCATTATACTCTAAAAATAATAAGGAACCCCCAAAATAGTATTGGTAGTTATTTAAGCCCCTTTATTAGGATGCTGAGTCGTCATCAGCAGAAAGAAGAAACTGTCCAACACATTCTTCTACGACATGAGCACTTTTGCTTCGACCGGCCTCTGCATCCAACCTCGAACATGAGAAACTTTAAGTTGTGGAATACTGTTCCATCTGGACTCAGCCAGAAACCATGCAAAGGCCCAAGCACGGGAGCCAAGAAAGTGAAAAACCTTTTGCGTGAGCTAAAAACTCCAAGATCACCATAAACGCTAAACGTAATCCAAAGACTAATACGTCATATAACAGATCTCGCACATATATGACATATATATATAGAGAGAGAGAGAGAGTTTTATTTTTCCTACATCCCTGAACTCCACAGGCCTCATAGACATTCGGCCCACGCTTGGCGACCTCATTCTGAGGGAATCGCAGCCGAACTGCCTTCACAGGGCTGGCTGCCTACTTGGAGGGCCGGCGGACTTGGTAAGTAGTCGTTTTAGAGACTTATAAGTACTATAACCCCAATTAGGATCCCTCTTCGGGTACTTATAACTCTACTTATTACCTACTTACTAAGTCCCCCGACCCTCCATGTAGGGTCTTTCAGGGTCGGTCTATAATTAGGACCGGGGTGAAACAGGGGATGGATTTCGAAGCGTTCGCAACAGTCGAGAGTTTCCGTTTCTGCAGGCTTGGCTCTTGCGAAAGCGATGGAGGACCTATGGAATTGACCGCGGCACATCCACCCAGCCACAAAACAAAGACCGCTTCGCACCACCAACACAGCACAGGCACAAACGACAGCCATGCAGCAGACTTCCCACCTATGTATTATGCATGGGGATGATGGTGCAAGTTTCTCCACCCATCGATTGTTACATGTCTGACAAGAGCATCAGTCCAAGGACTGGGCTCGAAATCGCGCTACGTATTCAAAAACCACAGGCCCCGTCAACCTCGCTCATGGCAATCAAATCGTGTTGTAATCCGCGTAAGATGACCGACACATCTCCGAAATAAACTATTGCTCCTACTGTGCTGGCAACAAGATGTCGACCTGGACGGCAGCATCCAGGGCAGCTTCTCCCATTGCACTGGACATTTACATTTTTCGCAAAGAATTCGAAATGCTGTTTGCTGCACTCGTCTTAGTACTGTGATGTTGTTGCAAGCCACAGGCATGGAGCTCTGTTGCTTCGTTAACATGATGAACATGCTCACTCTAGACTATGACTATGAGTCTGCCGAGATGGTTCCCAGGTGTGCTCGAAGCTTGCAGCGTTCGGAAATCTGGCTGCTCGCTGGGAGCTCACCAAGATCTCTGAAATGCACAGGATTTGCACAGGCATGCTGTGGTGAGGGTCAGAAAAAAACGAAAAGCTTGGACTGCATTCCGGCATTCGAAAAGACCAGTTCAAGGGCAGAATCGAAACGTAGATTCGCGTTACATTGCATAGGCGATTGTTCCAATCCAGCTGTCGGATAGAGTCACAACCGAATTTTCCCAGACATGTTGACACCTGGTGAAGACATGCTGCTGAATGTTAATTATTCATTACGGCTTGCACTTAAAGCCTGAAACTTTCAGGAGAACTGCTGCTTCGTCTTTCGCTAGCATGGAGCAAGCACGCCATACGCACAAGCAACCAAGCAAGCAAAGAAGCAAGCACCACAGAACGAAACGACTCCACACAAAAAGGCAAGCAAAAAACACTCTAGCTAACAGACACTCTCTGGTTCGGAGTCATCAAACTTCAGGTCTGAGCTGCGAGCCTGTCAAACACAGCGAAGTGATCTCCGAATTGGCAACTAAATTTCAATGCCGGTCCCTCCAAGCAGCTGAGAAATCAGAGCAGCTTGAAGTGTCAGAAGTTCCCGCTGTACTTTCTACAGTCATGTATCGCCAAGGTGCCTTGGAGAACATGCGAAGTTCTATGGACGTGTATAAATGTATACGAGTGACTGGTACGACCTAGTGCTCACTCATACTGTACGTAATATATATATATATATATA